TCGACAAATAGTATGAGATTGTTTATGCCGATGCACCCTGAAATATACAGAGTAAGATGAAAGGGCTGGGGTGATTTCTTAACTAAATGTTAGTCTTTATCTGCAATGTCTTGAAATTAACACGGTGGTCTCAATGAACTTTTAGGGGCCATCCTTTGGTGATGAAGCACACAGACTGAAAAAAAAATGCAAAAGTTTCTCATATTGGCTTCTGGGATACTTATCAGCTTCTTCTTTCAGCTTCCTTCTCTAACGTTAGAAAAAATGTAGGAAAACAACATTTGAATGGTCTCAGATTCGGGCTTTGTGGAATCTCCAGATAAATGTGTGAAAAAGTCTGATCTGAAAAATTGATCTCTAATCCTTGTAGCTTATTGGCCACACTTTAAATTCTGAGAAATCGTCATGGTGCCCATACCAAATGCCCAATACATGGACTCTGTTGAATTACAGTGTGCAAATTACAGTGTCAGCCTTGGAAGCCATATTAGGCTTGCTAGCAAAGAGAACTTTGGAAAATGTCTGCTTCAAGTGTCTTTACTGGGAGTCGGGGGTTTTCTGGAATGCTGACAATCAGATTTTTTAAAAAGGTAGCTCCAGGACTATCAAAAAATCTTCCATATGTTAAGAAATAGATGGGATATGTAGGACGTTAGGAAACATTGAATCCATAATTATTATCAATGCATTATTGGCTTAAATATAGTCCACCTGCCTTCAGAGAATTGGAAAAAATAACTGTTTAGAAGCACATGTCTTGTCACTGTGATAAGACAAAATGCAAATAAGAATTCTAAAGAACAGGTGTGGAAAATGATCACCATCCTAAAATATTTCTTTTCATAAGGGAAACAGAGCCAGTTATGTGCCGTGCTGGAGGAATCATGCTATGGTAATACATTTGTTTTAAACTTTGAACTACAAAAATTCAACTGACCTTTAGATGGCAGCAAAGTGATAGAGAAAACAACTCTTTGCTATCATCTAGTGGTCACTTCTAATGCCATCTAGTGGTCTAGAGAATTGTTGCAGCCCATATGTGACAATCCTAATGAATGGGACCCACTGTTCATAATTCAGACAAATTCCAAGAAAATATAGTTTTGAATAATTTATTAAACAAACAAACAAACAAACAAACAAACAAACACAATAAATGGAAGTTCTTAATGCAAACACCAGTCCAATCTTGAATAATACTGAACAGACTACCATATAGCAGATTGACCATACTTGCACATTATTCTGTAATATGTAAGGTGGTGTAGGAGAAGCAATGGCAGAACCGGGGGTGGAGTGAAAAGGGGATCATCCTAGAATCCCTACCTAGCCACAAGTGAACTAAGTCCGACCCATTCTGAGTCCTGTTGATCCTTGTCTAATTCTAACCAGATTTAACTGTTAGTTGAAACAGTATAAAGGTTTGTAGCAATAAATCAGCTTCATTGATTTACTCTTTCATGCTTGACAGTTGACAACATCTTCTATTTATCCTCATTGCTGTTCTGGGCAGAAGAGATCCAATTGTGATCCTGACCCAAATTTCTATAATGTTTACCTGAGGAAAGCAAACACAGTCTTATTTGTTTGGAGTGGACTAAGCATGTTGTGCGAACCCAGTCACATATTTCCCTCACACGTTTCTAGATAGAAGCTCACCTGACATCCCCCCCCCACATTTTCATGTTCCTGAAGTTTATTCTGTTGTATTATATGAAATATTATGCAGATTATCTGATTACAAGAGAGAATTGTCCTCCATTATAAATAATTCCATGGTTATTTTCCGTGGCAAATTGTGAAGAAATTTGGATGAACAGGTCACTCTGTTGATTAATAATCTGGCTTCCTGCTTTTTAAAGTGTATCCAAAGGGAATGCCAGCATCATTTTGTTAGTTGCTGTAATTTGTAGACACTGTTGTACGTTATAAAATATTTCTTGATTGCTGGAATTTAATGAGTGTGTGTTGTTGAAGCCTGCTGGATTGGCATGGCAGCATACAGAGTACCGTATTTTCCCCTAAGATATTTTGCATTGGTGGACAGTAAAAGTTGTATCTATGCCGAGTAATAATCATTCATTCAGGTGGAAAAGGTGCTAAATATGTTGAAATAAAAGTATTCTGACAATGGCAACAATGGACCCAAGAGATTTTGTTTTGTTAACTGATGGAATAGCAGGTGAAATGGTGCTATCAGAGTAAAAGCTAGAAAAAACTTCAATATATACATAAATAATTATGGAATAGATGTATTGGACAGGTGTAGAGTATATATAGAGCCACAGGTATTAGAAATGAATGAAATCCCATAAGCCCAAATGTCTCGTTGGTTTAACTCAATAACACCAACTGTGCTAATGAAATCTTTATATGTCTTTGTGGAATCTGGTTTTTAATTAATTCCTATGTGAACCTGACATATCAGTTGCTACAAATAGACAAGATTCTGTGCTAAAATATAATGATGTAAAGATCAGTCCAATTTCTGCAGCCAAGAATCTAAATCTGGTGGTTAAAACACTACAATCTACCTAAATAGTGCAAACCAATCATAGAGCAAACATCTTTTCCTTGCTTTGCCCAATTTTGCACGCTTTCATAAAATCATAAAAATGCCAGTCAGGGATCCTGAGTCTTGGAGTTTTGGTGTTTACTTAATTCTTGACATTTCCTCAAGCATTATCTACAAGTTTTCAAATTCAGCTTTAGGATTGTTAATTTATTTTTCTTTCAAGAATAAGAGTTAAATTTCCCATATGGTCATCTATCACTAAATTAGAAGCTTGGACAATGTGATGACAGAATTGCAAATTAAATAGGGATACAAGTCAATTTGTCCTTCTTGTTTAGTCACAATAACTGAATCCACTGAATCAATCAATAATTCAGTAATGTACTAATTTATGATGTAGCCATTTCAGTGGGGGTGTAAGTCCTGATTAGGAAGCATTCTGTAGAAGTAACAATCACTGTCACAAACTCACTTTCTCTGCTTGCTTATATGAAAATATGCTGCCATTATTTAGACTGAGTATCACCAATCATGGACCTCTAATAAGGGACCACTAAGATAGAACTGATAGTTAGAGCCAAGCATCTATTGAAAGAGGAGGAAGAGGAGGAGGAGGAGGAGGAGGAGGAAGTGCACACACGCGTGAGAGAGCACCAATTTGGTCTTGTGGTTAAGCTCCAGGCTAGAAACCAGAAAATTTATGAATTCTAGCCCCATCTTAGCCATGAAAGTCAGCTGGGTGAATTTGGGCCAGACATTCACTCTCAGCTTATCTTATCACAAGGGTTATTGTTGTGGGAAAAATAAGAGGAAAGAGTATTAGCTATTTTATCTGTCTTGAGTTACTGATTAGAATTCTTTATTCTTTATTGGCCAAGTCTGATTGGACACACAAAGAATTTGTCTTAGGTATATATGCTCTCAGTTTACATAAGGAGAATAAAATACATTCATCAAGAATAAAAAAATACAACACTTAGTGATAGTCAAGGTTACTAATTCTAATAAGCTATCAAATCATACTAGGATACAAATAAAAACAATATAATTGAAAGATACAAGCAATATAGTTATAGTAATAAGTGAGAAGATTATTATTATTAAAAATAAAAGCAGGATATTAAACAAAGCAAGCAAACTTGGATTATGTGGCCATGTTTCCAAATACACACACAGGAAACCATCACAAATGTTCTATTCTGTGATTCCCAGCTAAGCAGTAGCACCTAGCCAAGCCTGTTGATCTGGAAACTTAAACAGGATTAGTCCTGGTGAGGATTTGGATGGGAATCCTGAGCTGCAGGCTAGAATGTCAAATTGAAACAAAACATTTCTGAAAAAACAATGACAAATCACTTCTACATCATTCCCCCTCCTGCCCCAATGAATAGCTGTACCCATGAAAAGTATCAGAAATACAGCTTCAAAAGCAACCTAGAGTAGCTGTTTTTAAAAAATATCTGAACCAAGAGTGTCCAACCTTTGCAACTTTTAAGACTTGTGGACTTCAACTCCCAGAATCCCTCAGGGCCAAACGTCTGTGGTGCACATTTGTCCCTTTTAAACCTAACCAAATTTAAGATCTATGGCAGATAGAAAAAATGCTCTTGCATGTGGGCTTTTATATCCTGCAATGTGGCACCCCAAATGTAATGGGACACCATATTTTTAAATGTAACATGGGAAAATTCACAAGTAACGTTTGATAAGAAGTTTATGTTTTCAGAAGTTGCTGCATTATACAGTCTCAGAAATTGTCAACATTACCTCATCTTTCTTTACAGCCCATAGCTCATTCTAATCTGGGAACATATAGATCTTAACTACAGTTTGTAGCAGGATGACATAAATTTTTGGATGTGCAAAAGACTTTGCTTCACTCAGGCAATCTAGCTAATGTTCAGTTTTGCCTATAAAGATCTCTGGGGATTTAGAGACAAGCAAAATCACAAATTGTTCCTTTGGAAGTCACCAGGGTTCTACATTATGATGCATGGAGTGAGAGGATGGATAATTTTATTTATTTCTTCATTAAATATGGGTTCACTAAAACATTAGCTTTCCAGATCATGAAGTACCAAAATAATACCTCTTTGGTTGATAAAACTTGTACCTATCGTTCATTTCTGAGATGAAAATCAAAAAGAATACTCTCACAGAGAATTCAATTAAAAGCAGTTTAGGATACCTGTGAGTAATTACACTATCACATTCTCCACAGGGTTTAATTCAGGGCAAACCGCAACTACTGTGTGTCCAAAAGATAATGAATTAAAGCAGTGCTCTGGCATATTCCCTTACTGAAACGTTAGCAGCCTTCTCAAGTGACATGAAAAATAGGCTTCAATAAGAGCTGGGGAAATATATGCAGTTAGATTCAATCAATAAGCTGTCCTTGACCAATGTCCAAATTTGAAAAAAAAAATCCAGTCCCAAATGAGTTATGAGAATTCTTTCTCTGATTTTAAGTGTATTAATTTTGCAGGGTATACACAGAAAAGTCCTATGCTATCCGAAGGCAGTATTTCAACAGCTGAGGAACACTTTGTGAAGAGCCCACACGTCCCTTTTCGGAAGGTAGGAAGACCAAACACAGCTGGTAATATGGATGGCAGGCTGCTATGGAAAAACATTACGTGCTAATTTGGGAAGAGTAGAGAAAGTTAATTGTACAATGAAATAGACATCTCACTCCCAGGTACCTTTGGTTGAGTGATGGGAACATTGGTGCATTAAAGGAGGGTTGTTGCTTCCCTACAAGATACAGCAAAAGAGTAAGAATCAGGAATGAGTAGAATGGAGTGTAGCTAAATGTTTATGGAGATTCTCAGTCATCCAGGTCATGGTTGTCCCAAAGATGTTTTTTTCAAGAGGCAACAGGACTTTCTGGAAGTCATACTGGACTATATGGAAGACATACTTTGGTTTAGAACCCGTTTGATGGCAAAGTGATAGACTCCATTCTACTGTCCCAAAGGGGCTTTTTCAAGAGGCAACTGGACTTCTGGTTGCCGTTTGTAAAAGCACCTTTGGGATAGTAGAATGGAGTCTATCACTTTGCCATCAAAAGGATTCAAAACCAAAGTATGTCTTCCATATAGAGCTACGCTATCATAATACATCTTCTGACATTCTCCCTTGAGATTCTCTCAGAAGCAGTGGGGCATATCACCCCTTTGTTCTTGAAAGAGGATACCAGTAGACGTGGTTTGGCTCAGAGGAACTCATTCATAACCCCACTCAGACTCCTTAGACACAACCTGTTCAATGACACTACGAAAAGCCCAATTAGTACAAGATTCTTTAGATTAGGGATGCACAATTGGCAGCTCCAGGGCTACCTTAGCCCTCCAAGACTTGAATGCACTCAGAAAGTGCCTCCTAAAATAACATCTAATGAGAAGGAACATGATTAAATATATAAGAAATCATATTGACTGCAATTAATTAATTAAATTAAAAATAAAGGACTGTTGAATTAAATTTATGACCTTGCCATTTCTTAGCTCCCCTTTTTTGAAATCTTTTTCTCAAAGTTTGTGTAATCTTTGGCCCAACACAAATTACACACTTCCAGTGTATATAAATGACTAGGGTGTCAACCTATTAGCTATGGGTCAACTGTTGAAATACGCTTGGGTGTTTCACCCTTCCAAAGTGATCTATTTCATTAAGGCATCATGTGAAGACTTCCATCTTAGCCCACCTTAGGATGACAGGTATCAGTAAGCCAGATGTGGATTATATTGATGAATGCCTCTGACAGTATTACCTATCTCAGGGGTCCCCAACCTCCAGGCCGCAGCCCACTACTGAGCCATGGTCTATTCAGAACTGGGCCGTGCGAGAAGGGGGCTGGTATGCAGGTGTGTGCGTAGCTCCACTTGCACAAATGGCAGGCTGGCATGTGCACACATGCATGTGCGCCGGTCCACCACTTGCACGGCTCAGTTCCCCTCTCCTGTCCCCCTGCCGGGCTGCCAAGCTGGAAAGGTCTGTTGAAGCAGGTCTCCAGCAAGCAGAATCCATGGTGAATCAACAGTAATCTGAAAAACAACAAGGAATATTGTGGCTACAAATGTCTCCTGTTGCATCACTATACAGTAGTTAAATTGCCATCTTCATCAGAGTAGCCTGTGAGACGCGAAACTGGAAATAGATCAAGGTGAAAATAATGTTTTCTGCCTGAATAATTTCTTTTGCTGCCTTCAGAGGAACACATGCATACATACGTTGTAGCAGTATTTTTTTTAAAAAAAAGAGAAGAAAGTTTTTCCTTTTCTCTATTGAAGCTATTCATCTTTTCTTTCTATGAGCCTTTTAAAGATATGTGGCTCTACTTAGGAGAACTCAGATCTGTTGTTCGCAAATGCAGACTTTTAGCCAGTTCTGTACAAGTTATCTTTGTTACTCTGTTTTCCAGGTTGACTGTTGTGATCTACAGAAAACAATGTAAGACAATAGTTGACTGTATCTTGGTAAGTTGACTTACCAAGCATCTGTAAACACTAATTTACAAATTGACAAATGCTTAAAAAATATTTCATGTACAAACCTGATGTGTTCCCAAAATAAATATCATACATCAAGATGCGATGGGTTTAATAATATGGATTGGTCTCTTGCTAAAAAGAGGCCGAACAGGTCTGTTGCTAAAAAGAGTCCAGTAGTGTTGCTTGTAATAAAAAAAGACCTTTAAAAGAGAATGGAATGGAATGGAATGGAATGGAAGGGAAGGGAAGGGAAGGGAAGGGAAGGGAAGGGAAGGGAAGGGAGGAGAGGAGAGGAGAGGAGAGGAGAGGAGAGGAGAGGAGAGGAGAGGAGAGGAGAGGAGAGGAGAGAACAGAACAGAACAGAACAGAACAGAACAGAACAGAACAGAACTTTATTGTCACTTTAAATGTACACTAATCAGCATACATTAAAACGAAATTTCTTTGCATTCAACTCTCAAAACATAACCATTATGCATATACCTACGTACACACACATATGACACAGAGAAACATCACAGTCTAATTCGAATGTATACGCATACATGGCAAAAGAAAAAGAATCCTACGAATTTACAAGACGGATGGCATAAGGAGCAAAGCTGTTACAGAATCTACTAGTCCTGCTATAGGTACTTTGAAACCTCTTCCCAGAGATCAGCAACAGATACAGACCATGAAGTGGGTGCATGGGGTCTTTAACAATGCCTTGAGCTCGAAGCACATAGTGAATAACAGGAAGAGAGCTTCGTGTAATCTTCTTGGCTGTCCTTATCACTCTCTGTATGGACTTTCTATCTGAGACACTGCTGCCACCAAACCAAACAGTGATGCAGTTTTTTAAAACTCTCTCAATTGTGCCTCTATAAAAAGTGGCCATAACCAGAAGGAGAAAGATGTGCTCTCCTCATCTGATGCAGGAACTGCAAACACTGGTTTGCATGCTTCACTAAAGATAATGTCAGATTGTTAGTTATCTACACCCCCAGATACTTAATACTATTGAACACCTCCACAGCTGCAGCCTTGATACAAACTAGAGTATGACTATGCTGGCTCTTTTTAAAATCAACAATGATCTCCTTTGTTTTGTTAACATTTAAAACCAGGTTATTTTCTATTGCACCAGTCTACCAAAGCCTTCACCTCCTCCCTATAAGAATCTTCATTGTCATCCTGGATAAGCCCCACCACTGCTGTGTCATCCGCATACTTCACAATATGATTCGTAGCAGACTTGGCCCAGCAGTCGTGGGTCATCAAGATGAACAGGAAAGGACTCAAGACAGAGCTCTGTGGGGAACCCGTCCTCAAGGAGATCATCTCCAAGAACACCAACACTGCTTTTCTTCTGCAGGAACTGACATTGGCACTAGAGGTGTTTGTTTTCTGCCATCATTGCTCGCTGATTTTAGTGAGGCGAAACAAGCACAGGTTCTGCAAAAGTGGAAGTTCTCTCCCTTGGACTACAGTGGAGTGGAAACATCCAAGCTCCCAACAATCTCTTGGGGCCTCTTGGAAACATAGAGAACTTGTTTGTTGATTGTGGGTTGCTTTTTTTTTTTTTTAAAGGAAGGCAGAAAGATGAAAATATATCGGGCGGAAGGCTTGACACACTCACTTTTCCTTGCTTATAAAATTTCCTGCTGACAAGCTTTTCCCCCTCCTGCCTTTATGTGCTCATCTGTGAAGGATTGTCCACCTGCTGCCTTATCGTGGGCTCTGGAAAATTGCCAGAAGATGGCAACAGCATGTACTACTAAGGGAGCATTGGGGCTATGTGGAATAACAAGGACTGTGTTATGACTGGGAACGTTTGCAGTACTATAAATAACTCTATCAATATTGTGATAATGGCACTTTAAAGAGGTCTATTTTACAAGTGTTGGATGTAAGAGACTGCAGCTGTGCTCATTAATGCTGAAGGATGCTTCACTCTATGTACAATTTGCAGGTGTAACAATAGGGGTGTTGATTCATTGGGAGCTTCGATTGTGACTGGAATTTGTTCAGATCTTCAAAAGAAGAAGAAAAGGTTATACTAACATTGTTAGTGCCTAATAAGTCTTTATTGTATTTGGCAGATGAAAAGCAAATTATAACAGTTTAATTGAAAACCCCCAAAAGATAAAATAGAAGAGCACAGTTAACAGGATTTCAATGAGACTTAAATAGCTCCTTCTCACCAAAGAGCAAGTACTATAATTGATAGAAATAGATTTTTTTAAAAAATAATTAATTGCCGTAAATTATCACTTGGCACAAAGATGGCATAATTCTCATTAATTTGCAACTTTTCCTGGTTTAAAATTCAGAATGGCATCATTCTATATCCCTTGCAAGTTAATTCAGAACTGAAGTAACTTCCATAAAATTTCCTACTTCTGGAGAAAGCGTTGTTTCTGCTACAGTATACCTGGCATCCCAAAGACATCCTAGGTTGTCTCGATTTGACATTTCCGGTTTACCTGAGGTTAATTGGCTATTGTACAAGAAGAAATCACATTAATTGTGCTTTGAACAAGATCAGCTTTAAAATAGCTTCACCTTGCAAGCAGAATGAGCCACTGGGCACCTTCCTGTTATTGAACTGCTGCTTCTAGAAGCTTCCATCAGCACAGCCAGGGATGAAGGATGCTGCAGGCAACCAATATCTGGAAAGTCCCAGGTTCATTCTCCTTGTCAAAAGGGGTCAGTGCAAAATTACATGGGACACAAGGTAAGGATTCCACCAGTGCAACTGAGCGTTTATCTTTTTCTTATCTTATGGCCAGATTGTTACTGCAGCTGCCAAGTCTGAAGAACGGTTACAGCAACTGGGCAATGCTAGTCTAGGGAAGAGAACTACCAAGGTAGACATGATAGCAGTGTTCCAATATTTGAGGGGCTGCCACAGAGAAGAGGGGATAAACCAGTGGTGGGTTGCTCCTGGTTCGCACCGGTTCTATAGAACCGGTAGTAAAACCGGCGGGAGGCTCTGCCCACCGACCCTGACGTCATCAAAATGCTTCTGCGCTTGCTCAGAAGAGTGCGCATGCGGCCCAGTTGCAGACCAGTAGTAAAGGTAAGTAGAACCCACCCCTGGGGTAAACCTATTTTCCAAAGCACCTGGAGGCCAGACAAGGAATAATGGATGGAAACTGATCAGATGAAAACTGATTCAGCCTAGAAATAAGGAGAAATTTTCTGACAGTGAGGACAATCAACCTATGGAACAGGTTGCCTTCAGAATTTGTGGAAGCTTCATTACTGGAAGCTTTCAAGAAGCTGGACTGCCATCTGTCAGGATGGGCAGGGGGTTGGACTGGATGACCCACAGGGTCCCTTCCAACTTTGTTATTCTTTTAAATCAATTAGATCAGGTGACAGAGGGAACCCAATAGGATTCCATCTGTTTGTTTTACAGCTAATAAAGCTCTCATAGATGCTCTTACAAAAATACTTTCAAACCACAATTACTGTATAATGGGATGGGCAATTATGGAAACCTTATGAACTATGGATTTCAACTCCCAGAATTCCTGAGCTAGCCATGCTGCGAATTGAATATGGATATAAGAAAATCAGTACTAGACCAGCTAAACATTCCAGAGCAAAGCAGAGTAGAATTAGTAGATGGCAACGACCAGAGCTGGAAAAGGTTTTTTTTCAGTCTTGCATGGTGTGGCTAGGAACTGAATGGATTTTATCTCCTCCTTGTAAAACATGATCGTAAAAGTAAGTTCTGGATCCTATGAATGTATATCCTGATTTATTTTCTTCACTTTGGGATTTAATTGCATATGGATCTGTTGTTCTTATATAAGAGATGCACAAATTCTATTGGCTTGCAGTCTTCAGCAGAGCCAACATCCATTTTGGGGAAAAATGGGAATTTAAAAGGTTGAAATGGATAATTTATGTTTCTGTAAGGATTGGTACCCATTTCATCCTTTTTAACTCCCTCAAAAAAAAAAAAAAGAAAAAGAAAAAAGAAACTCTCGAAAATATTTTTAAAAAAGGAACTCAAATTTGGTCCACTCACTCCCGGTGGCACGAAAAAGGCAGAGCCAGGCTGAAAATGCTTCCTGAGCTACAGTTTTTGTACTGTAATTGTCAGTGAACATAGAATGATTACTTTGAGGATACACGCTTAAGTCAGCCACAGGTGCATCTAATAATAATTGCAGTGTACAATGGTGAGAACCTGAGAACCTTGACATAAAAATAACAGATACCTGGATTATCTATGCCACTTTTCCCACATTAGAAACTGTGTTTTTTGCATTCCAGGATATTTAACTCTTTTATCTCTCCCACCTCCCATGGACACTCCACACTTCAAACAGTCTCTGTACTCCAGTGGTGGGTTACAAACATTTTTACTACCGTTTCTGTGGGTGTGGCTTGGTGGGTGTGGCATGGCTTGGTGAGCATGGCTTGGTGGGTGTGGCAGGAGAATGATACTGTAAAATCTCCATTCCCACCCTACTCCAGGGAAAGGTTACTGCAAAATCCCCATTTCCTCCCAATCATCTGGGAATTGTGAGGCAGAGAATAGATGGGGGCAGGGCCAGTCAGAATTTTTACTATTGGTTCTCCGAACTACTCAAAATTTCCGCTACCAGTTCTCCAGAACTGTTCAGAACCTGCTGGAACCCACCTCTGCTGTACTCCCTACCCACCATAATCTCAACTACTCATATTGCCCATAGGCATCCAGCAGGAGAGCAAACCAAATGCAATTCATGGCCAGTTTGCAATGATGTTAGAATAGAATAGAATAGAATAGAATAGAATAGAATAGAATAGAATAGAATAACAGAGTTGGAAGGGACCTTGGAGGTCTTCTAGTCCAACCTCTGCTTAGGCAGGATACCCTACACCACTTCAGAGAAATGGTTATCCAATCTCTTCTTAAAAACTTCCAGTGTTGGAGCATTTACAACTTCTGGAGGCAAGTACTGATTAATTGTTCTGCAGGAAATTTCTCCTTAGTTCTAAGTTGCTTCTCTCCTTGATTACCGTATTTTTCAGAGTATAAGACGCACCGGAGTATAAGAGGCATCATTGCTTCATTTGCAACTTCTATGAAGTGTGTACAGTAAAACGACTGTAC